TTCCTGCACCATTACTATGGGTTAATTCTAGACTCTTTTACCTTTTAAAGCTTTAATAATTGCTTGAATTCTCATGTATGTTGATATTGAGCTTATCTGTGTAAATTGTGCCAAGATTGAGTTGATAACAGGTACAGTAGGGATGCCTTGTCATTCCTACGGATTCTTATTCCATGTGCTTAGTTTATGCCACTAACGGTTTGATTGTCTATTTGTTTTGTCCATAGCAAAAGGTTGAGGCAAAGATTATTGATGATGACAATTTTGGGAAAATCTCTTGCAAAAGGGGGGTTAATTCTCTATCATTTCTATTCTTTGACCCCGATTTTCAATTTCAAAGTGTGGAAAGAAGTTTTATTGCATATATATATATATATATATATATATATATATATATATATATATATATATATATATATATATATATATATATATATATACTAGTGTTTTTTTTATCAAGAAGGTAGGGGGAAACCCGGTAAAAATTACATCAGACATCTGCTGTATACTGACGCCAAACTGGAATGCCATCTATATCGTCCTGTAATATGCTTAAGAGATTGACTGGTGGATCATTGAGGATATGGATTCCCTTGGGGAGACACTTGGCCCTTACTGCCAAGGCATCAGCAAGAGAGTTTTGTTCGCGAGCAATTGGGGTCAAACACCATGCATGAAATGAACTTGCCTCAGGAATACAAGCAGCAACAAGGTTCTGAACTACATTGTTGGAAGTCCGGCTTCCATCCACTATTTCAGCAAGATCCTTGGAATCGGTTTCAAAGGAGATGCTCCTGAAGCCAAGGTGTTTTACTAATTGGATACCTTTCAAGAGAGCCCAAGTTTCAGCTTCTAATGGAGAGCAACTTCCAATACTATACATGTACCCAGCCAGCCAAGAACCTGTATCGTTCCTAATGACTCCTCCGCATCCTGCCTTGTTCGTTTGGATGTCGACAGATCCGTCTAAATTCATATTAAAGCTCCCAGATGGGGTTTCTCCCAACAGAGCTTAGACCAGAGTCCCTGCGGAGTTGTTCTCCCTTTTGCAAAGGCCTTAGTTATCCCTACAACCTGTGATTTGATCCACTCGACTTTAAAGGAGAACCTTCTTTCTACGTTGTTAAAAATCACATCATTCCTCCACCTCCAGATCCACCATAAGGTGGTTGCAAATAAGGTAGCCTCATTGGATGGATGTCTGCTGCCTCCTCTTCCTTTGATTCCTAAATGTAACCAGTTTTCAAATGATAGATTGGTAGCCGATGATAAGAAAGGGAGAACAAGTTCCAGAACTTCCTTAGCTGCTGGGCAGTCCCGAAGAACATGTAGTGTATCCTCAATTGCGGTTAAACAGCAAGCATATTTGTCACACTCAGAGAGACCCCTCTTGCATCTATTACTGTTAGTCAGGATCCTTCCATGCTTCACGAGCCAGATGAAAGTGCAAATCCTATTAGGAACTTTTAGCTTCCAAATGCTTTTCCACTTAACATCATCAGACATGGTAGGAGACCTCAAGGCTGCATCATAGGCAGACTTAATGGAGAATTCACTAGAAGATTCATGTATCCAGCCTAGCGAGTCGTTATCGTCAAGGTCAGTGCTTAATAGAACTGCTGCCAACTTGTCTAAAATTTCTTCTGGAAGCAAGTTGATAAGCTGGTTCATAAGCCATCCCACATCGGGATCCCAATAGCTCGAAATATTTCTGTAAAGATCAGGGAGGGGGATCGCTTCAGATAAAAATTGCCTAAGTGGAACATTTACCAACCATTTGTCAATCCAGAAAAGAGTGTTATTTTTGTTGTGCACCACTTTCTCAATACCACCTTCTAGGATGTGTCTGGACTTTAGAAGACCTCTCCAAGTCTGCGACATATTTCTTCTCGGCTGCCACAGAGAAACATCGTCACTGGTGGCTGAATACTTCGACCTTAATAACTGAACCCATAGGCTGTCCTTTTCATGAAGCATCCTCCATCCACGTTTAGCTAGAAAAACTTGATTCATTTCCTTCAGTTGTCGAATGCCAAGTCCACCTCTCAATTTGTTTTGGGTGACAACATCCCAGCTAACCAAGTGGATCTTTTAAGAGCCTTCCGAACTGCCCCACAAGAAACCACGGATTTGTTTCTCAATTGAGTCAATTATTCCAGCTGGTAAGGGCATCGTCTGCATTGAATAATATGGAATGGTAGATAGAAAAGATTGGGCTAGAACTTGTCTACCAGCAAGGGATAGAGTTCTTGATCTCCAACCCGCTAACTTGTTTTGAACTCTTTCAAGGATCCCTGAGAAGGCTTGCTTCTTTAATCTGCGATGGACTGATGGCACCCCCAAATATTTTCCAGGATCCTCAACCTTTGAAATGCCAACAAGATTAGAAATGGACTCCTGAAGGGAGATTGGAGTATTTCTAGAGAAGAAAATTGTTGACTTTTGAAGGTTCATTTTCAGTCCAGAGCTGGTGCAGAAAGAGCTTAGGAAATCCTTCATTTCCAAAGCTTGTCCAATCATAGCTTCCCCAAACAGCACCATGTCATCGGCAAAGAAAAGGTGGGAAATGAGAGGACCTTCCCAAGATGCCTTTATGCCTTTCCAGCGACCTGCATTCATCAAAACATTAATGGCATGACTTAGGCTTTCTAAACACAACGCAAAAAGAAGAGGTGATATGGGATCTCCCTGACGAATTCCTCTTGCTGGGTGGAACCAATCGGAGTGCACTCCATTACAATTGATTGCTAGTCTTGGCGTGGTCACACATGTCATGATGTCCTCATCCAGTGAGTATTGAAACCAATGTCCTGAAGAGTCTCGTCTATGAAACTCCATGCTAACCTATCATAGGCCTTCTCAAGGTCAACTTTAAACATCATCCATCCCCTAGCACCTCTCTTGTTGTTCATTGAATTGAGAAGTTCTTGATACACAATGATGTTGTCGGTGATTTGCCTCTCAGGAACGAAGTTAGTCTTATGGTGACCAATGAGCTTTTTAGATGCTTCTTTTAGTCTCATTACCATCATTTTAGTTAGAAGTTTATACGAGACATTGCATAGTCCTATAAGACGTAGTTGTCTGACAGATTCTAGTGATCAAAGTGTCATTGCATGCCTCAGAAAGCACACCATCTGCAAAAAAACTCAGAGAAAAATTTGTTAAGCAAATACCAGTGATATTCCATGTAAGTTGGTAGAAACCTGCCGTAAAACCATCCGGACCCGGGGCCTTTTTTGGTGCCATCTCAAACATAGCAAGTTTGACATCTTCGGCTTTGAATGGAGCATTAATCCTTGCCCAATCCTCTTCACTTAGTTTTGGGAAATAGACCTGTACATCAGTAGGGGTAATAAAACTGTCATCCGAAAAGGAATTTATGAAGAAATTAAAAATATGATCCCTTAGTTGAGTGTCAGAGGTAAACTCCTAGCCATTCTCATCCTTAATGCTACTGATATTAGTAGAACTTCCTTTTGCAGCAGTTGCTGCATGATAATACCGAGTATTACGATCTCCTGATTCGAGCCATTCTTCCCTCGACCGTTGGAACCATATGAGCTCTTCCTGATATAAGACATCGAGTTCTTCCTGCAGCTTCCTATCTAATTTAAGCAAATTGGCCGTTGGCTTAACTGCCATGGCTCTTTGCACCCCACTTATCCTAGCCATCAGCCTTTTCTTTCTCATAAAAACGTTGCCAAAGGTGTTCCTATTCCAATTTGCTAGGGACTTTGCCACAGAGGCTTTGTTTAACTCCAGATCATTTCCTTGGATCCAAGTTTGGTTAACACATTCCAAAAACTTTGGATGAGTTGACCAAGCCAAATTGAACCTGAATGGTTTAGTTGCCTGCATGGGTGGAGGGGAATCAAATTTGACCATAATTGGAGTGTGGTCCGAAGCAACCATAGGCAAATGTTGCACGCACGAGTTTGGGAAATTGATCCTCCAGTCCACGTTCCCAAGAGCCCTATCAAGTCGGGCACCTTTAAAGGACGAGGTATTAACTCCGCGCATCCAAGTGAATTTGGAACCGGTATAGCCTAGATCCATTAGGCCCTCCCGAAAAATCCAATTTTTGAACTCCGTGCTGCGACTCAAGGAAAAATTATCTGGGCTGCTGGTCTCATATGGACTTAGAACTGAGTTGAAGTCACCTATTTCCAACCATGGGATATTTTGATTGAAGCCATTAGATGTGAGATCCGAGAAGAGCTTTTTTGAGCATTTGGGTTGCCATACACTATAGAGAACAGCCAAGTCTTCGTGCTCGAAGGGTCAACCTGCATAGTTATAAACTAGGGGTGGGTGTCATGAATGATTACATGAGTGGAGTTCCTCCAAAGTACCCAAATCTCTATCGAAAAGCCCACAGCTTCGACTCTAACCCATTCGTCGAAGCCAAAGCTGGAACAATCTTGTTAACTTGGGAACCTGAAACTTTAGGCTCAAGAAGATAAACAAAAGAAGGTTTATGAAAACTAATAAGGAGCTTAAGAGTACAGAGAAAAGCTCTTGAAGCCGCACCTTGGCAATTTCACACTAAACAGAACATTAAACAAGGAAAGAAAGAGAACAACGCTCAGGAGCGCATTGGTTCAGGAACCACTGAGCCATCAAGGCCAAATGCATCCATAGCAATATCGCGTTGTTCCACCTGGAAGGCTGATGTTGAAGGGATATTCGGGGGATCGTTTCTAGGTGCAGCCTCCTTATCAAACAAGGGTGGGAATTCCTGTTGATTCTCGAGGTGGTAGACTGTTTTGCTAGTAATGTGACGACCTTGGTTTGACCCACGAACAACGGTGTGCTCAGTTTCAGCAGCTGCTCTCCTTGGTGTCACACCTCTCCCACCTCTGCCTCTACTAGCTCCTTGTCGTGGAAGTTCGGAGTGATTCTGGACCATCTCCCTTTGAACAGGACGACTCTGATTCTGGGGGTATCTTACTAGGCTTTTACCAATACGCCTATTTGTTCTAATCCGTGGAAGATTCTCATTCATGTTCTGGATTACGGGGGCTGGTCTGGTGGCCTTCGTTGGGTGGCTCACCTCCTTCTTCCTCCTGGTTAGCCAGCGGTGAAAAGCGCGACTGTATCCCCATGCCGTTGCCAACAGTTGCTCCACCGGTCTTCCCTCCGGTGGCTGGACGGTTACCTCCCCTCCGTGCTCCTCTTCGATCCTTTCTTGTGACTAGCATCCAAGATCCGTAGTTTGCTGAGTAATCCTTCCTTGGTTCATGAACTTCTTGCGCCATGCGATCCTCACCCAAAGCTGGATCATGGATGTTTTGAACATTGTCGACCCCACATTGATTCTCTTTGTGACCATAGAGGCCGCATTTGAAACATACGAGATGCAATCCTTCATATTCTACCGGCCATACCTCTTCCTCGAGGGTAAACTTAGACAACAATGGCTTAGAGATATCTAGTTCGACACAAACCCAAGCGAAGCTTCCTTTGGAAATGAGGCTCGTGGTGGAGTCGATATTTATAGGGCGTCCTACTCTCCTTGCGATTTTCATCAAGAACAGATCATCAAAGTATTCGACCGGCAATGTCGGGAACCTAACCCATGCTAGTAACTTCATAGTCTTATTGTTCCGTGGGCTAAAGTTTGGAACCCACTCCTGAACTACCATGTAATGATCAAGAACACTCCAAGGCCCTTCAAATCTGGCAAAATCGTAGTCACTTTGAGACTCAAATCTTGCATATGGTATTCGTGGTCTAGAGTGATTAAGTCGAAACTGGCCAATGGTTTCCATATCTTCTGCAGACGTTGGAGCAGGTATGAATAGCCCACCTTCCTGCCCAGAACTCAAATGATGAGCGAGCGATGCCAAGGTCGCCTAATTCTCTCTTTCTCCTCTTCTGAAATCGGGATGACAGGGTTACCAGGTACCGACCTGTCATCTTCCATGTCTGTATCAGCTGGGTCGTTCTTTTCTACCAATGAACCCCCTACTATAGTCTAAGACGAGGCATGAACTGGTGTATCCGATGGCGTTTTCCATTGCGTTGAGTCTGGGGATAAAAGTTCCGCTTCGAGATGCATTTCCTGGTTGCCGTTCACCATTGAAGATGGGGGAGATGGTCCCAGGTTGTCTCTTCCTCTCTTGGGCTTCTTGGTATTCCATTCAAGGACGGCATCCTCGTCTGGCGACTGATGGGTCGCCGTGGGGGTGGATCGTTCAGACAGCGTGTCGGAGACGGTTTGCATTCTCGGAGAATTCTTGGAGTCACATTCTTACTCTTTGATAATGGACCATGATCATTCCATGGAGACACGTAACTCCCTTTGATCTTGGTTTAGACATATATATATATATATATATATATATATATATATATATATATATATATATATATATATATATATATATATATATATATATATATATACACTAGTATTTTTTATGCACGATGCGCAAAACATAGGTGCCCAATATAAAAATTTATATTAAAATTTTAAATTTATTTAGATTTTAAATGTTTAAATTATTGTAAATAATAATAATAATAATAATACACATTATATATTGGAGTTATATGTTAGTTATTATTTCTTAAAATTAAAATATTTATAAAAATATTTTACATTATTATTATTATTATTATTATTATTATTATTATTATTATTATTATTATTATTATTATTATTATTATTATTATTATTATTATTATTATTATTATTATTATTATTATTATTATTATTGTTATTGAAGAAGATAAAAAAATATATGGTAGATGCACGTGCATAGTAACAATAGTGGAAAAGATAACGGAAGTTATAACGGTAGTGGTATATTTGTCCAAAATATTTTATAGTACAACTTTTATAGCATAATGTATCAAAAAACTTAATGGAAAAAATGGACATAAATGAAGGGTATAACATTCATTCACACTTATTATGTTATATATATATATATATATATATATATATATATATATATATATATATATATATATATATATATATGTATGTATGTATGTATGTATGTATGTATGTATGTATGTATGTATGTATGTATGTATGTATGTATGTATGTATGTATGTATGTATGTGTGTGTGTGTATTCAAATGAGAACCACCATTAATGACCCATATTTGATTTTCTAAGATGACATAATCTTTTTTGTCTTAGTGGAGTAGTAGTGTCGTTTCATTTTTTTAAGTGTGTACGCATAGGTAATCCTTAACCATATTTGTTTCTTATTTTCTTGCATTATCACCGTTACGATTTGGAGCCAAGATTTCTTCATCATCGATCAAGTGTTCACCCATGGAATATTGTCTATATTTGAATGTTGGTGTATATGTACACATGTCTAGGTAGTACAGTTGTATGTGTCTTCGGGTGTGCTAGTTGTGCAATCCAATGTTGTGAGATATGCAATAGTACAGTGCACTTAGGGCGGACAGTGCGGTACATTGTAGGACATTGGGATGTCCATCGTAGGATTTTTTTGGTGGTGATTGAATGCACAACTAGTGAGTTACCGATGCATGACATTTGGTATAGGGATGCACAATATTTTGTATATGAATGCATAGCTTCTAATAAGACTGATTTACCCCTAACCATATACTTTATAATATTTTAAAGGGATTTATTTCCTTAATCCTTGTGATTTGATCATTTTAATCTCGTGCATCATTCTGATTTAATGCTCTAGATTTGTCTGCACATTCTCACATTAAGGTTGGTTCTCATGGGAGCACACACACACACACACACACACACACACACACACACACACACACACACATATATATATATATATATATATATATATATATATGTTTATTTATTTATATTTATATTTATATTTATATTCAAATGAGAACACGCATTTATATGAGAACATGTGGACATTTTTGGACCATTAAATCTTGCTTTTGGATGTTATATATATATATATATATATATATATATATATATATATATTGGTATCCATGTTTCCATAATTAATTTACAAGGGTAAAATTGTATTTGTGTGTGCATTTAAAATTTTATTAATTTATAATGCTTATCTTTTTGTTTGCGGATTTTAGGACTTTTAATTATGATAGAATTGCAATATTGAAGTTTTTTTGCACCACCCGTACTCCCGTAGAGAGCTTTCTGACTTGCGCTTTGAAGTGTCAAGAAATTGGCCAATTGTTTGTTGTTCGCACCAACACATACCGATCCATCTGCTCGCTCTCTAGCCTATAGGGTCGAATTGAAAAATCTCAGTTGCATATAAACCATAAAACCTTAAATTCCAAACCCCTAATTTACCGGCCCTATCAATGCTATCACACAATTAAGTGTTTGCGAACGCGAATTAAATGTGACAAACGCGATTAAGTATATTTGCACACATTTAATTTGCGTTCGCACATACTTGATCTAATCTAGACCATTAAAAAATATTAGATGAATGCACACGATTTGTTCTCACCTAAGCAATTGTTCTCATTGAAACCCTACTATATATATATATATATATATATATATATATATATATATATATATATATATATATATATATATATATATATATATTAGTAAGTTAAACAATTGAAATTAAACACTACTAATAAAATTGTAAAAAAATATTAATACTTTAATTTTGATATATATCGTAATTCTCTTCCAATCAACCGTCTTTCTAGCTCTTTGCCCTCGTAAATTTATAGATAATCGAAATGTCCTATAATATAGGCTCATAAAAAAAATTTATAAATAATAATGGTTAATAATTGTCTATATATGTGTGTGTTGTTAGATAATAATATTAAGGCTAACATAAACTATAGTAAACGAGTAACCTGCCTCGTTACCGCGGAAGCTTTAGGATCGCCCGAATATCCCCAGCCATAGTCGTTGGTATTGTCACGAGATGGTAAACCTGCAGAATAAAGGCTGGTATTTTGTCTACCACTTCTCTCCCGAATACTCGATGGTGCGTGTATACTGAACACAGGAGCTGTGGGAGGACTCATTATGCTTATAAGCCTACATGCCATCAATTTAGGCAGATATTCAGTTAATGCTAAACTGAATATCTTGAGTTGCCTAACAGATTAAGCCACTAACTGACTTAATCTTCCACTTGCACCACAACCACTTAATTAATACAATATATTATAATATATTATATTAGGGAAAATACTTACATTCTCCCACTTGGTGCAAGTACTGGCACAACCTTCATTAAAGAACAAAACACATGAACCACGGTAATACGTCCTCTACTAATCAAGTGAGTAATATCTACTATGATCACATGCATTTAAATTCCCTAACTTAGGTTCTTTATGAACAAACCCTACGTTTATTCTTAGTCCCTTAATGGATGTTTCTCAAAATATATTATGTGCATAACTGAAGGAAGAAACCATCCAAATTCACTATATGATCTCCAAAATCTTAGAAGCATGCCTTAAGTAGAGATCTCTTAATGTTAGCATAATGCTAGCTATATTCTTGAGTTAATACCATCTGAGGTCCTCCGAGTATAGTGGTTTTGTCACGTTTAGTCCTAAACTTTCAAATTGACCATCTGTGGTCCTTCAACTTTCAAATTTAACCATTCGCAGTCCAAGTTAACCACCCATGGTCCTTCAAGTTTTGAAATTTAGCCAGCTATGGTCCTTTTGAAAGGACCATGGTTGGTTAAAATTTAATAGTTTAAGGACCATGGGTGGTTAACTTGGACCACGAATGGTTAAATTTGAAAGTCGAAGGACCACAGATGGTCAATTTGAAAGTTTAGGACTAATCGTGGCAAAACCACTATACTCGGAGGACCTCATATGGTATTAACTCCTATATTCTATGACTTGTTTATAAGTTAACATAAACACTACCTCGAACGGATAAGAGCTTGGAGTTGACACGTCTGTCACTCCCACTCATTAAGATAGCCAAAGGATAGTCAAGTCATAGAAACATTCCAATAACTTAGACAACAAACCAAAAAAGTCTAAGTCCATAATTTGGAATCTTAAACATACACCAACTTCCCAAATAATCTCAAGGTCCACCTCGAAATTAATTGAACATTTACGAGTAATATTATGTCTTACAAAATTGTTTTGAGCCTTACAAACCAAAAATGGTCTAAGATCAATTTTGAAGAAACTAAAGACTCTATCAATCGCTAAAGAATTTATTAATTGAAAGTGGACCACAAGTTAAATGCTTTCGTTCTAATAAATTCATTAATATTGTTACAACATTTTCATAAATATGTTGTACAACCAAACATTCAATGAAATGAACTTATGAATTATAAGAACAAAAAACTAAATTAATAATTGTGGAAACTTTTGGACTTATTGCTAGACACACAATCCAATTTGGAATGTATGAAAACAATTAAATCCATAAGCTTTAGTGGAGTATTTAATGATCTTTTTCTAAATGATCACTCCCACTGATTAAGATATTAATGATATAACACTCATAATTGATTTGACCAACTAAATAATAAAGATATAATTCCCCACCATTAGTTGGGCACACTAAATAATCAATATTTGGTTCCAATTATAGTCTAACTAAATGAATGATTAATGAGGACTTGATTCTCCACCATAGTTAGACATGCTAAAATAATAAAATACGCCTTCCAAAACCAAGTTAGAATTCGGCTCAGAAGATATATTTTATTATTGGAATCCATAAAAGGTATATCATACCACGCAACTTACTATAGTGAGTCCAAATAACCAAGTAAGCTTCGTGAAAAATAATTAATAAAAGGTGTA